TCAAAAAAAGTGCAAACAGACTGCACGCGTGTCAAATACTAATTCTTCATACGCAGAAATTACGATTATTTTTAGGTAATATATCGACAAGACAAGTATTAAGTGGGCTGGCGTGCTTCTTCTTCTTCCACTAATACCCTCTAAAATCCGCTTGTTTCCATACAACATTCAGAACTATTTACTATATTCGGCGAACTAATATATTTTATAACTCAGACAATCCTTTGATATGTGTAACTTTCGTTATTAAAGTATGCAACAAAAATTCCGTAATCATTAATCACGATCATTAAGAATGCGACCAGTTATTAATAGATGGACACCATTTTGCATTAAATGACACTAGTTATGAAGAACTAAGCGTGCTTTATCGTCATTAAAATCCGTAAGTACAAGAGACAACATGTAGAAATCAGATCCAGAAGGTATGTTAATAAACATGTCACCTACTACAGCTTTGGCGCGAGCTTTTATTTTTTGTTCATAGATATATCGATGAGCACCGCAGACAGCAGTATCCCGTCTGTGCTGAGAGCTATAGCTTGCTGAGCGTATAGCTTAAGTTTGACCGTTTTGTCCGTGTTTGCACAAAAGTGCCACTTAATTATACAATCGACCTAATTTAGCATAATTTACATCCAGAATGTAACAATACAACAGCAGCTGATTTCATCATTATATAATACTTTTCAACGTTTCGATTTTATTAGAAGGCTACTTATGCACCGGTCCGTCCACTATATACACGACTTAAAGCCGGGAAGGTTTTGAATATATGCAATCGATAGTCATACTAAAGGTATGTAAAGCCTCCTGTTGCCCCAACGAAAAATTATTCCAAACACGGTTTTTCCTCGGCCATAAGTTCTGAACTGAAGCGCTTTTAGGAGTGCCGGTATAGCGAACCTTATCTAATACTATCAAGCGTTCTCATACTGCTACTGGGAAGAGCCTACAAAGTTGTATATTTCTATACCCTCAAATGAGATTTTCTCCTCTGATATTCGAAAAGAATCTTTGACTGGAGGACGTTATCTGCATTAGCAGATATCACGCGTTCTATAGCGTGTTGGACGAGCTCACAAAACATAACTTTATTTATATTGAAATGGAAGCGGCATCTAAGTTGGTTTCTATGACGCAAAAATGAAGTCACTAGCACTTTTTACTTTACCATTTCTCGAACAGCTCCTCTCAGAGGTAGAATCGTTTATAATTCTGCACATAAACAAAGTACAAAAATGAGATAAGAACACGCTTTTATCAGGTTTGAAATGTGTCATGTGAAAATGTGCTGGGTCATTTGTTAAATAAATGACAAAACACTATGTGTGATAAGCACATAAAGCAACAGTAACGCGAGCTCGAAACAGATAAGTGTGATAGATCACTGCTTTGTTAATTTCGCCTGATAGCGTTACAAATATACAAGATCCTGAATTTAAGAGGTAAGAATCTTTTCGCTGCTGGAGTATTTAGTTTTATTTAGTTTTAAGTCCAGTACCAATGTCGGTGGATGGATATTTCAGCTCGGATAGTATATAAAGAACGCTCACAAGTTTCACTGACAGCTGGGGCGACTTTTGACCTCGAAAGCAAACATCAAGTACTCTTTTGGGAAGAGCAACGTTTCCACAGATATACTCATTGTTTGAAATATAAACTAAGAAGAAGCTGAGCTATACACTTTTCTATTATTTCATTGCAGGATGTTTCGTCTCGCATTGCTCGTTTGCTTGGTGTCACTGATGGTGCATCATACCCATAGTCATTCCATCTCGTCCATTCAGGATGAATACAAGCTCTACAAAGCTCAGGCTGGTGTATCCGCCGTTGATCATCTGACGCCCACTCGCCATGCGAAGCCACTAATGGCCAAGGAAAAGTCTCCTGCTCATGCTGACTTATTCTTTCCCCCTTTACCTGGTCAATCGAACAATGATTTTCATCCTCAACTTCGCACTCTTCCCACCGGAAACGATACCCTCTACTACTATTCGTGGCACATCCATGTGTATTTTTTCCACGAAAATGTCAATGTAACTTTGCGTGCCTTGTCGATTCGAAAGCAGTTTATGGACTATTTTCATGTGGGCACGTGCCAGGGAAACTGTTTTATGGGGGGTATTTTTGACAATTGTACAGACATGTGTCTGTGGGATCCGGTATTTGGCGTCGATGGCCCTCATCCGTATGGACAATGGGGCGTTTATTTACCAAATGAGCTGGTGATGGAAACAGTCACATGGATGTCGGCCAATCATGGGGAATTTGAAGTGCTGTTCCATCCGAATACAGGCGAAATGGTCGGTGATCATGATAGTGAACGAAGAGCAATGTGGATCAAACAACAGGTGCCGTTAGATTTGGACTTTCTTATTTGGCTACAATGCAAGTGGTTCGGATGCAATGACGGTTTGGCGCATCAGACGAGCAAATGAAAATTAAGGAGCGAGTGACTACTGTTATGCTATATCTTTTATTAACCTGTTCATTGATTAAGCGTTTTTGATTATTTTATCGAAATGTCAGCGAATCCATTGTTTTTTACTTGTCAGTTTTCTCCTTAGTAAAAATAATATTCCAATATTTAACTTAAAGACGTCAGTTGGATCTCCAGGAGAAAAATGTTTAGCAAACTATCAAGGGTACATGTATCTTTATTTTCATTAATTCCAAACAACAATGCACCGTGGGCATTTTTCTATAGAGCAGGAAGACATATGCTGTAGAAGTGGTACGAAAGTCTATAATCACGTTTTCCTGTAGGTTTTCGAATATGCTCTTTCCAATGGTAAGATTTTCGGAACCGAAAGTAATTTCTTGTGGATTCTCTGGAGACCGGATCTCTGAAAAACCCTTAAAAGTATTTTTGCATTTTGAAAACCTCACCATTGGAAAGAGCATATTCGAAAACCCATAAAAAAACGTGTTTATAGACTTTCGCACTATTGCTAAAACAAGTATCCAAATTGTCAGGTAAAATTTGCTGTGAAGAGGTTTTCAACTTTATAATTCAATTTGATCGAAAATATTTCTGAAGAAAAAAATTAAGAAGCTATACATCATTCGATGCTGTTTTTCACGCTGATTTCGACTATGTATATATTGTTTCCATAAAGTTTTTCGGAAGACGAAACAATTCAATAATACCTCAAAAGCTAAGGTTTTTTAGAAAACCCATAAATCCTCAAGGAATGAGTTGATAGATTTTGAGAGATCACCATTGATTCAGCATGTGTCAAGGAACATTTTGATAAAAAAAATAATCTGGATTAGAGTTTAGCGCGCTTCACCGCTGGTATTTTACTGAAGATCTATGTTTTTCATTCGAGTTATATTAATAAAAGTTTTTTCTGCCACTAATTATAATTATTTTTGAAGTTTTTCGTACGTTTAGATAGGGCTTTCATTTCGAGGGCTTTCAGACTAGGTAGTCATTTTTGTTTTCACTACATTTCATTTACGAAAAAATTGGATTTTCCTAGTAAACCGTCAGTTTTAACTGGAGTTTTCGATATGTAAATTTTTCATGAAGGAAAAGTCGTAGAACAAAAATTCTTTCGCCATCATATCGGCCGTTGTTCGAAGTGTAGAAATCACCATTTAGAACGTAAAAAAATGAAACTTGCGTTTTTTTGATAAAAGAAGGCCTGAATGCCCAATGTGCAATGCTGACTTACAGTACGGTGTGCAAGGTAGTCTCATTACAGCGATTCATCAGATGTACACTTCTGTGATTGATGACTAATTTTGAGGAAAACTGGAAGCGAGATTTCAGAGAGTAATTGATTTTCAAGAACTGTATCAACTGTGGAAGCCTTGATTTTATTTTTCCATTCTCGCTAGACAGGAAAAAGTGAATGAGAAAGGAATCGAACAGATAATTAAAGACTTTTCTCAATCGTCTCTCGATTAAAAGCCTTAGCAGACCAAAGTGAGATCTGAAAAGAGGAAAAAGCCTTTTCGGGACGAAAAATCCCACTTTTTCCTCTCTAAGCAAGGGAATGGAAAAGATTTTCGATGTCCTACTCGTAACCTCCAGAAACAAACTGAAAAAGATTGCGTGAAATCAGAAAATTATATAATAGCATACCCTCAATTCTTGACTGTACATTGTTTTTATTCCATTGTTGATGGTGAGCATTGAAATCACTGAAAAGAATTATGTCATCGCATTTATATTTTGTTTAAAAGATTACCTATGTGATCTATAAAACCGATAATTAGAGTACGGTGCAGCCGATAACAAGTTATGATTAAGAAATTTTTAGATGGTGAAACAAAGATACGCGAATGATCAGAAAATAAATCTTCCAGTTCGAGTAAATGTGCTGTATGAAAAATATTTAAAATGCATTTGTGATAAGAACATAAGGTCAATTGAAATACTCTGATTACACCATCCCCATGTAAAGTGATCACCATATGTCCGAGTGAACCCTTTCTCCTTTTTCAACAGAAAAATCGAGAGCTCGGTGCATCAGAAAATAACGGGCTAGCTAGAGTTTGTTTTCAGGAACCGATCTTGAAAAATTATTAGAAGGGGTATCGTAAGATTGGAAACTCTTTTCATGAGTATTCGACAAAAGGATTGCACGAAATAACAGGTTGTCCCAAAGTCATCCCCAATAAAAAAATTTAATAACTCCGCCATTTCTTAGCCAAACTTCAAGGTTGTTTTTTTGTTTGATAGAGGAACATTTCAAGTCTTATTTTATGCGATTGGAAACTCTTGTTAATGTTTCAAAAAATATTTGGGGTTATTATAGTGAAATTCAGATATTTTGAGACTCTTTTTTAATAAATTATATTCTGCAAAACGTTTTGAAAAGAACATAAATATTTTTTAATATTAAGATAATGTAGATGATGTCCGCTTTCACATAACGAAATAATTGTTTGCTTTTGCTTAAAAATGACCGGTTGGTGTGAATTTCTTCAGCCGTTGCTATTTCGTACTAGCATCTGGAAAGTGCAAAAAAGCAATAAAAATCTTTCTCAGAAAAAGTTAACTAATAAAAAGAAAAACTACTACAGTAGTGGAATTTCATACAAAGAAGGTAGCCCTATAAACTGGAATAGTTTGAAAGTCTGTAAAAGCTATATCAGGCTATTGCAGAAGCCGAAATTCGTAGATCTTCGCTAATATGGAGAAAATAACTTCTTGTGGCAGAACTTTAAGCTGAACAAAACATTTAAATATGCGGGATTGTAGAGGAACCTGAGTTCTACAACATGAGACGTAGTGCGACATCGACAAATATTCCATTTAATTACGAATCAAAGGAATGAACAACCAACATGCCCCGGATGGTTGTTGCTACTGTCATTCAATGACAGTAGCAACAAAATTTATTAAGTAACGTTGAAAAGTAAGAAGACCGCAGCACGTTTAACGTAGTGGACGGCGAGGGAAGACAAGTAAAGTTGAAGCACATCTTAGAACAGTTTAAAGATTTATTTGATACATACAAACATATCAAAATTTGATGGTTTTTTTCTAGAGATGCGTCAACCGAGATTTTTG